AGACACACAGGGAGACACACAGGGAGACACACAGGGAGACACACAGGGAGCCACACAGGGAGACACACAGGGAGCCACACAGGGAGCCACACAGGGAGACACACAGGGAGACACACAGGGAGACACACAGGGAGACACACAGGGAGACACACAGGGAGCCACACAGGGAGCCACACAGGGAGACACACAGGGAGACACACAGGGAGACACACAGGGAGCCACACAGGGAGACACACAGGGAGACACACAGGGAGACACACAGGGAGCCACACAGGGAGACACACAGGGAGACACACAATGAGCCACACAGGGAGCCACACAGGGAGCCACACAGGGAAACACACAGGGAGCCACACAGGGAGCCACACAGGGAGCCACACAGGGAGCCACACAGGGAGACACACAGGGAGCCACACAGGGAGACACACAGGGAGACACACAGGGAGCCACACAGGGAGCCACACAGGGAGCCACACAGGGAGACACACAGGGAGACACACAGGGAGACACACAGGGTGACACACAAGGAGCCACACAGGGAGCCACACAGGGAGCCACACAGGGAAACACACAGGGAGCCACACAGGGAGCCACACAGGGAGCCACACAGGGGGCCACACAGGGAGACACACAGGGAGACACACAGGGAGCCACACAGGGAGACACACAGGGAGCCACACAGGGAGCCACACAGGGAGACACACAGGGAGACACACAGGGAGACACACAGGGAGACACACAGGGAGACACACAAGGAGCCACACAGGGAGCCACACAGGGAGCCACACAGGGAGCCACACAGGGAGCCACACAGGGAGACACACAGGGAGCCACACAGGGAGACACACAGGGAGACACACAGGGAGCCACACAGGGAGCCACACAGGGAGACACACAGGGAGACACACAGGGAGACACACAGGGAGACACACAGGGAGCCACACAGGGAGACACACAAGGAGCCACACAGGGAGACACACAAGGAGACACACAGGGAGACACACAGGGAGACACACAGGGAGACACACAGGGAGACACACAGGGAGCCACACAGGGAGACACACAGGGAGACACACAGGGAGCCACACAGGGAGACACACAGGGAGACACACAGGGAGACACACAGGGAGCCACACAGGGAGCCACACAGGGAGACACACAGGGAGACACACAGGGAGACACACAGGGAGACACACAGGGAGACACACAGGGAGCCACACAGGGAGACACACAGGGAGCCACACAGGGAGCCACACAGGGAGACACACAGGGAGCCACACAGGGAGACACACAGGGAGACACACAGGGAGACACACAGGGAGCCACACAGGGAGACACACAAGGAGCCACACAGGGAGACACACAAGGAGACACACAGGGAGCCACACAGGGAGACACACAGGGAGACACACAGGGAGACACACAGGGAGCCACACAGGGAGACACACAGGGAGACACACAGGGAGCCACACAGGGAGACACACAGGGAGACACACAGGGAGACACACAGGGAGCCACACAGGGAGCCACACAGGGAGACACACAGGGAGACACACAGGGAGACACACAGGGAGACACACAGGGAGCCACACAGAGAGGCACACGAGGAGGCACACGGGGAGGCACACGGTGAGAGACATATAGGGAGGCACACATAGGGAGACGACTCACAATGCGCTTGCCGAACTCAATGGACGCCACGATGAAGGGGATCACGCCAGCTGGCACGTGGTAATTGGTGCAGGGATGAGGGTAGAGGGGAAGACACGGACAGGGATTGAACAGTGGGTGGGACGGAAAAAGGGGATGAGGAGCTTCGCTTAGCGGCGGTCGAGCACATGGAGATGAGGTGGGTCGAGCACATGGAGATGAGGTGGGTCGAGCACATGGAGATGAGGTGGGTCGAGAAGAAAGTGGACTCTCGTTCGTTGTCTGTTCTGACTGCTCTCCGTCTGCTCTCTGTCTTTCTTTTTCTCCGTCTGTTCTCTGTCATCTCTCCGTCTGTTCTCTGTCATCTCGCCGTCTGTTCTCTGTCATCTCTCCGTCTGTTCTCTGTCATCTCTCCGTCTGTTCTCTGTCATCTCGCCGTCTGTTCTCTGTCATCTCTCCCTCTGTTCTCTGTCATCTCTCCGTCTGTTCTCTGTCATCTCTCCGTCTGTTCTCTGTCATCTCTCCGTCTGTTCTCTGTCATCTCTCCGTCTGTTCTCTGTCATCTCTCCGTCTGTTCTCTGTCATCTCTCCGTCTGTTCTCTGTCATCTCTCCGTCTGTTCTCTGTCATCTCTCCGTCTGTTCTCTGTCATCTCTCCGTCTGTTCTCTGTCATCTCTCCGTCTGTTCTCTGTCATCTCTCCGTCTGTTCTCTGTCATCTCTCCGTCTGTTCTCTGTCTTCTCTTCGTCTGTTCTCTGTCTTCTCTTCGGCTGTTCTCTGTTTTCTCTCTCCGTCTGTTCTCTGTCTTCTCTCCGTCTGTTGTCTGTCTTCTCTCCGCCTGCTTTCCGTCTGCTCTTCGTCTGCTCTCTGTCTACTCAACTCACAACTCACCGATTGCACCAACCACGATTTGCCACGTCACCCCCGACCGTCCTCCGCCTCCAGCCACCCCCAGTTCACCCGAAGCAGCAGCAGCGACGGCAGTAGCGGCGGCGGCGGCGGGGGACGTGTCTGCTAGGCTAGCAGCCGCGTCGGCGACATGAGCGGCGGAGGCTATTTGACCCGCAAGGCCGGCGGCGAGGTCTGCGGCGTCTGGCGGAATGGCTGAGCACCGCACGCGATGCGGGGAGAATTGCGCATGCGGTTGCGGTTGCGAGGAACGAAGATCCCTCGTCGTGCCTCCGACGCTGGCCGCCTCAAAGCGCCGGGACAGCGCGGCTGCGCGGTGATAGTTCTTGCGGCTAGGCTGGGCGCGCGTCGACGCAACGGCGGGGATTTGCGCGCAGCAAGGCGGAACGGAAAGGCGCTGCGGAGGAGGTGGAGCGCTTCGGAGAGTCTGAGAAGCTGAGGCCGCCACGTGTGTGGTTAGTGAAGAGTGAGCGAGCACGTGGCTGGAACGCGCTGAGCCGCATTCAGCCGGCGTGCTGCTTCTCGATGCTGCTACGCGTGCGTGCCCGTCAAGCGAACCACTGATTGAAAGCGCGATAGACCGCGCCATTGTCGCAACCACTACGGGAAAGCAACTACAAATTCAGTCGTGAAGTAAGGAGCTCGAGTTTTTGTGGGATGAAGAGCAAGTCGTAAAGGGGAAATCACGGAGAGCACGCACAGCATACTCTCGTGCTGGGTTATTTGGACGACTGAGGAGTGCTTCTGAACGGTCCGTTATCGTCATCGTGGAAGTCTGTGACTGTAGGAGTAGACACAAAAGTAGCAAACACAGGCTGAGGGCGTGTTTGGTAACGATGAGATACCGTAGAGGTCAGGGAAGAGTCGAATCACTTGAGTTATCATGCCGGCAAATCTGTGGTGTGGAGAACCGAACAGCGGACGACTAAACACGCTGCAATAAGCACAATACCAACTGGAAAGATATCGTAGTAGTTGGTACACGAGCCAGGAGAATTTCCGTTCTCCATATCTGTCCAATTTGATTTCTCAAACAAAGCACACCTTTGTCATATTTCACAAACAATACCCACCGCCACAATACTTTGCTTTAGCTATAACAAAATCAAAACAAATATGTAGTGAAGTATTTGAAGTTTATAGATTATGTGTGTTAATAGAAAAGAATGAACAGCACGTATATAAGTGTGAATAGTGATCGGTACCCTTCACCTATATCAGCTTATAAATATATCAGTGCCATCTGTAGTTTCCCTACCGCCCGAGCCAGCTTTGGCAAACGATATTCTCATGGACCCGGCACCCAAAGGTCTAGCAGACTATCCATCCATCTTCCATCTGTGCATCCATCCACACCCTCCATACCTTCTATACCTTCCATGATGCCCACACTTGCCTCGTCTCATTGCATACGCGTTAATGGAGACTGCTCCTAGGGCTCATCCCCCGTCCGTGCCGAGACCCGACCGCGGCGCGGATCGCCCGTTATCGCGGCCGTTCCCCACGTCTAAATCGGAGAAGGCGAGACCGCAGAGCCAATCAGGTTCCGACACGTCTCAAAGCACAACATCGCGAGCCCACTCACAAACACGGCTGCAACCTTCGCACCTATCCGTACCGCCCCGAAGTCCTCATGCTGCAGGCAATCCCGCCTTACGAGGCTCTGCAAGCCACGAAAATTTGAGACTAGGTTCGGATTCCGAACCTGAATCGAACCACGGTGACGAGCCAGGCGGGTTTGCGTTCCCAGGACTGTCAGGTTCGGCTGGCGGAAAGGTCGCCTCTGCGGTTTCCAGAGCCTCCGCCGCGCGGCATGCGTTTCCGCGGAGCATTTCTGCCTCGAGCGGTATTCCCGCGGAGACCTCCGCGCGCGGCGCAACTTCTCGCGGGCGCAATCCGCCCGCCCGATCATCTGACGTGGACGGTGGATCCGACGGCGTCGATTTACTTAGCTTAGACGAAGTTAGGTCCGATGGTGGCGGCGCGTCGTGGCCAGAATCCATGGATCCCATAAATAGCGGCGGATCTCCCCATTCCAGCGCTCTCCCCCATTCCCCGCTTTCCGCGCGCTCCGATTCCGCCAGCCCAAGCCGGATGCCGCCAGGGCGCGGTAGACCGGGGGGAATGAGCCCTTCCGGCGGGGGCCGCGGATTTGCGCGTTCCGCCTCGCAGCCCGTGCGGAAACTAGACGCAGTCAGACACCCGCCGCCGCACACGCCTCCGAACCTTTCCCCCCTTTCCGGCGGTTCCTCCTCGCATGGCGCAGCTGCCCCGCCAGGCCTGCCTCCCGCGCGGAGGGTTTCGGAACCAGGGCAAGCGCAAGCGCGCGCCCGCCCGGTGACAGCGGGGAAGGTTCCGCCAGCCCAATCAGGAACGCGCGCAGGTCCGCCCACGACCTCCGCGGATGGCTCTGAAGTGGGAATGGGGGGAGCAAGGGGAGCAATGGGCGCGTCGGTCAGAATGAGCGCCGCCGCTGCCGCCGCAGCTGCGGGCGGCGGAGGCAGCACGACAGCCGCCGTTCCCCCCGGCGGCGGCGGCCTGCGCACTGTGGCGGGGGCGGTGGCGTCGCGGGCCCTGCGGAAGAGCGCGAGTGCGCCGCAGGCGCGGCCGGGGGAGGGCGCGGCGAGCGCCAGCGCGCGCGCCGTGGCGGAGAGGGCTGCCTTGCGGCTGAAAGGACGCGGGAGCGCTGGCGGGGCGGATGCCGGCGCGGGGTACCCCGGAGGGGGAGTTCCCAACACAGGCGGAGGTGGGGGGGAGTTGGCGGGCGCGGGAGTAGCGGGAGTAGCGGGAGTAGCGGGAGCGGACAGGCCTCGAACGCGCGTGGGGCGGGTGCTGTCGCAGGGAGGGCAGGGGGCGGCGGAGCAGGAGGATAGCCCGCGGCAGTGGCTGGCGCACGCAGCGGGCGCGCAGGGCGGCGAGGCGGTGACAGGCGCAGGCGCAGGGGGGCTGGGCGCGGGCGGGTTCGCGGCGCCGTCGGATCGACCCACGACGCCCCCCAGGCGCGACATCAGCGGCGGCGGCGGCGGTGGTGCGGTTGTGGGCGTAGGTGTGGCGGCGGTGGGCGCGGGGGTGGTGGCGGGGCGGCCCAAGACGCCCGCGCGCATGGACCTGCAGGAAGCGGAGCGCGTCCGCCTCGCTGCCGCTGCCGCCGCCGCCGCGGGTGGGCTTGCAGCAATAGGGGGAGGGGGAGCGGGAGGCGGAGGAGGCGGGGCAGCAGTAGGCGGAGGGGGCGCAGGGGGCGCGGTGCAGGCGCCAGTGACTCCGCGCGTGGTGGAGCGCCCCTCCACGCCCCTCGCGGGGCAGCGCCCCGCCTCGCCGTTGCTGCGCGCTGAGGGCGCACTGGAGCGCCCCAAGACGCCCACGCGGAGGCAGGAGGCGGAAGGCGGGGCGCACCAGGGTTGGGGGGCGGCAGCGTGGCCAGAGGGAGCGGCGGAGGGGCAGGTGATGAGTGGCACCCCGCGGCTGCGGGCGGAAGGGGGCGGGGAGCGCCCCACGACGCCCACCAGGCGGGGGGAAGTGGCTGTGGTTCCGCGCGGGGAGGGGCGGGTGGGGCGGTTGGAGAGGCCGACGACGCCCCTGCATGGGGCGGACGGCGGGCTGGCCCCTGCTTTCACCACACGTGCTGCAGAACGGTTAGATGTGGAAGCAGAGCGGTTGGGGGCAGCAGAGCGGTTGAATGTGGAAGGAGATAGGTTGAATGTAGACGCAGAGCGGTTGGGGGTAGCAGCGCGGCCGCACACAGCAGTGCCGCGCGGGGTGGGCGGCGCAGCACAGGGGCAGGCGGGCAGCCGCGCGGACAGGGCGAGCTTCCGCGGGAAGGTGAGGCCCAAGTCGTTTGTGGAGCGGAACACGGGCGATGGCGGAGGATCAGGAAGGGGGGAAGGGGCGTGGCCGGGTGTGGGAGCAGTGCCGCGGCCCACAACGCCTGTGAGGCGAGGCGATGGGTCCTTGGAACGAGCAGTTGCTCCGGGGGGGAGGGTGGGAGCGAACGGGGGAAGCGGGGACGTGGGAGGGGGAGGACGGGGGGGTTTTGGAGGGGAATCGGGAGTGACTGAACGGCCGTTGTTGCCCGCTGGTAGGATAGCCGGAGTCGATCCAACGGTCATCATGGACCGGCCATCAACGCCGGTCGGCGGCCGCCCGACCACACCGGCCGGCGCCCGCCCCACAACGCCAGCTGGCGGGCGGCCGACAACGCCGACCGGCGGGCGGCTGGACGCGGCAGTGAACCCGCTGGCTCGGGCCAATCGGATGGCGCCGTTTCCCATGCCTCTGTTCCCGCACTCGGCCTCAGTGGGGTGTGCAGGTGTGGGTGAGTTTGACCGGCTGTGTGTAGACCATGGGGAGGAGGACGACGAGGACGAGGAGGAGGGGGGGGAGGGGGGGTATGGAGGCGGGGGAGGGCGTGGGGCGGGAGATGGGGAGGCGAGGTGGAAGAGTGTGAGTGGGGCCGGTGCGGAGGGGGGTGGTGGGTCCAGACTGCATGGTATTGGCAGGGGCGGGGCGGGCGGGGCGGGGGTGCGTGCCGTGCAGCGGCAGCAGCAGCAGCGGCAGCAGCAACAGTGAGGGACAGGGGAGAGCGCAGGGCAGAGGGCGGAGGGGGGGAGGGCATGGGAGAAGCGGAAGCATGGGCCGGGCGCAGGGGGAGCAGCAGCAGGGGATTAGAGGGGAGGGGAGAGGAGGGGCAGGGAGGCAGGCTGTGGAGAGGGCCCCTTCTGGGGAGGCTGCTAGGGCGGCAGGACGTGCTGACTCAGCACCTGCGGATGCTGACGTGTTCAGGTCGTTTATCCTGGGCCGGCCGTATGCTGACGTGGAGGAGCGGTTTGAGATGGGAGGGGAGGTGCTGGCACGGGGGGAGTTTGGTGCGGTGCGGGTGTGTGTGGAGCGTGAGAGCAGGGCGAGGCTGGGCCTGCACAGACTATTGGCATTCAGGTGAGTCTAGTGGAACTGGCATTCAGGTGAGTCTAGTGGAACTGGCATTCAGGTGAGTCTAGTGGAACTGGCATTCAGGTGAGTCTAGTGGAACTGGCATTCAGGTGAGTCTAGTGGAACTGGCATTCAGGTGAGTCTAGTGGAACTGGCATTCAGGTGAGTCTAGTGGAACTGGCATTCAGGTGAGTCTAGTGGAACTGGCATTCAGGTGAGTCTAGTGGAACTGGCATTCAGGTGAGTCTAGTGGAACTGGCATTCAGGTGAGTCTAGTGGAACTGGCATTCAGGTGAGTCTAGTGGAACTGGCATTCAGGTGAGTCTAGTGGAACTGGCATTCAGGTGAGTCTAGTGGAACTGGCATTCAGGTGAGTCTAGTGGAACTGGCATTCAGGTGAGTCTAGTGGAACTGGCATTCAGGTGAGTCTAGTGGAACTGGCATTCAGGTGAGTCTAGTGGAACTGGCATTCAGGTGAGTCTAGTGGAACTGGCATTCAGGTGAGTCTAGTGGAACTGGCATTCAGGTGAGTCTAGTGGAACTGGCATTCAGGTGAGTCTAGTGGAACTGGCATTCAGGTGAGTCTAGTGGAACTGGCATTCAGGTGAGTCTAGTGGAACTGGCATTCAGGTGAGTCTAGTGGAACTGGCATTCAGGTGAGTCTAGTGGAACTGGCATTCAGGTGAGTCTAGTGGAACTGGCATTCAGGTGAGTCTAGTGGAACTGGCATTCAGGTGAGTCTAGTGGAACTGGCATTCAGGTGAGTCTAGTGGAACTGGCATTCAGGTGAGTCTAGTGGAACTGGCATTCAGGTGAGTCTAGTGGAACTGGCATTCAGGTGAGTCTAGTGGAACTGGCATTCAGGTGAGTCTAGTGGAACTGGCATTCAGGTGAGTCTAGTGGAACTGGCATTCAGGTGAGTCTAGTGGAACTGGCATTCAGGTGAGTCTAGTGGAACTGGCATTCAGGTGAGTCTAGTGGAACTGGCATTCAGGTGAGTCTAGTGGAACTGGCATTCAGGTGAGTCTAGTGGAACTGGCATTCAGGTGAGTCTAGTGGAACTGGCATTCAGGTGAGTCTAGTGGAACTGGCATTCAGGTGAGTCTAGTGGAACTGGCATTCAGGTGAGTCTAGTGGAACTGGCATTCAGGTGAGTCTAGTGGAACTGGCATTCAGGTGAGTCTAGTGGAACTGGCATTCAGGTGAGTCTAGTGGAACTGGCATTCAGGTGAGTCTAGTGGAACTGGCATTCAGGTGAGTCTAGTGGAACTGGCATTCAGGTGAGTCTAGTGGAACTGGCATTCAGGTGAGTCTAGTGGAACTGGCATTCAGGTGAGTCTAGTGGAACTGGCATTCAGGTGAGTCTAGTGGAACTGGCATTCAGGTGAGTCTAGTGGAACTGGCATTCAGGTGAGTCTAGTGGAACTGGCATTCAGGTGAGTCTAGTGGAACTGGCATTCAGGTGAGTCTAGTGGAACTGGCATTCAGGTGAGTCTAGTGGAACTGGCATTCAGGTGAGTCTAGTGGAACTGGCATTCAGGTGAGTCTAGTGGAACTGGCATTCAGGTGAGTCTAGTGGAACTGGCATTCAGGTGAGTCTAGTGGAACTGGCATTCAGGTGAGTCTAGTGGAACTGGCATTCAGGTGAGTCTAGTGGAACTGGCATTCAGGTGAGTCTAGTGGAACTGGCATTCAGGTGAGTCTAGTGGAACTGGCATTCAGGTGAGTCTAGTGGAACTGGCATTCAGGTGAGTCTAGTGGAACTGGCATTCAGGTGAGTCTAGTGGAACTGGCATTCAGGTGAGTCTAGTGGAACTGGCATTCAGGTGAGTCTAGTGGAACTGGCATTCAGGTGAGTCTAGTGGAACTGGCATTCAGGTGAGTCTAGTGGAACTGGCATTCAGGTGAGTCTAGTGGAACTGGCATTCAGGTGAGTCTAGTGGAACTGGCATTCAGGTGAGTCTAGTGGAACTGGCATTCAGGTGAGTCTAGTGGAACTGGCATTCAGGTGAGTCTAGTGGAACTGGCATTCAGGTGAGTCTAGTGGAACTGGCATTCAGGTGAGTCTAGTGGAACTGGCATTCAGGTGAGTCTAGTGGAACTGGCATTCAGGTGAGTCTAGTGGAACTGGCATTCAGGTGAGTCTAGTGGAACTGGCATTCAGGTGAGTCTAGTGGAACTGGCATTCAGGTGAGTCTAGTGGAACTGGCATTCAGGTGAGTCTAGTGGAACTGGCATTCAGGTGAGTCTAGTGGAACTGGCATTCAGGTGAGTCTAGTGGAACTGGCATTCAGGTGAGTCTAGTGGAACTGGCATTCAGGTGAGTCTAGTGGAACTGGCATTCAGGTGAGTCTAGTGGAACTGGCATTCAGGTGAGTCTAGTGGAACTGGCATTCAGGTGAGTCTAGTGGAACTGGCATTCAGGTGAGTCTAGTGGAACTGGCATTCAGGTGAGTCTAGTGGAACTGGCATTCAGGTGAGTCTAGTGGAACTGGCATTCAGGTGAGTCTAGTGGAACTGGCATTCAGGTGAGTCTAGTGGAACTGGCATTCAGGTGAGTCTAGTGGAACTGGCATTCAGGTGAGTCTAGTGGAACTGGCATTCAGGTGAGTCTAGTGGAACTGGCATTCAGGTGAGTCTAGTGGAACTGGCATTCAGGTGAGTCTAGTGGAACTGGCATTCAGGTGAGTCTAGTGGAACTGGCATTCAGGTGAGTCTAGTGGAACTGGCATTCAGGTGAGTCTAGTGGAACTGGCATTCAGGTGAGTCTAGTGGAACTGGCATTCAGGTGAGTCTAGTGGAACTGGCATTCAGGTGAGTCTAGTGGAACTGGCATTCAGGTGAGTCTAGTGGAACTGGCATTCAGGTGAGTCTAGTGGAACTGGCATTCAGGTGAGTCTAGTGGAACTGGCATTCAGGTGAGTCTAGTGGAACTGGCATTCAGGTGAGTCTAGTGGAACTGGCATTCAGGTGAGTCTAGTGGAACTGGCATTCAGGTGAGTCTAGTGGAACTGGCATTCAGGTGAGTCTAGTGGAACTGGCATTCAGGTGAGTCTAGTGGAACTGGCATTCAGGTGAGTCTAGTGGAACTGGCATTCAGGTGAGTCTAGTGGAACTGGCATTCAGGTGAGTCTAGTGGAACTGGCATTCAGGTGAGTCTAGTGGAACTGGCATTCAGGTGAGTCTAGTGGAACTGGCATTCAGGTGAGTCTAGTGGAACTGGCATTCAGGTGAGTCTAGTGGAACTGGCATTCAGGTGAGTCTAGTGGAACTGGCATTCAGGTGAGTCTAGTGGAACTGGCATTCAGGTGAGTCTAGTGGAACTGGCATTCAGGTGAGTCTAGTGGAACTGGCATTCAGGTGAGTCTAGTGGAACTGGCATTCAGGTGAGTCTAGTGGAACTGGCATTCAGGTGAGTCTAGTGGAACTGGCATTCAGGTGAGTCTAGTGGAACTGGCATTCAGGTGAGTCTAGTGGAACTGGCATTCAGGTGAGTCTAGTGGAACTGGCATTCAGGTGAGTCTAGTGGAACTGGCATTCAGGTGAGTCTAGTGGAACTGGCATTCAGGTGAGTCTAGTGGAACTGGCATTCAGGTGAGTCTAGTGGAACTGGCATTCAGGTGAGTCTAGTGGAACTGGCATTCAGGTGAGTCTAGTGGAACTGGCATTCAGGTGAGTCTAGTGGAACTGGCATTCAGGTGAGTCTAGTGGAACTGGCATTCAGGTGAGTCTAGTGGAACTGGCATTCAGGTGAGTCTAGTGGAACTGGCATTCAGGTGAGTCTAGTGGAACTGGCATTCAGGTGAGTCTAGTGGAACTGGCATTCAGGTGAGTCTAGTGGAACTGGCATTCAGGTGAGTCTAGTGGAACTGGCATTCAGGTGAGTCTAGTGGAACTGGCATTCAGGTGAGTCTAGTGGAACTGGCATTCAGGTGAGTCTAGTGGAACTGGCATTCAGGTGAGTCTAGTGGAACTGGCATTCAGGTGAGTCTAGTGGAACTGGCATTCAGGTGAGTCTAGTGGAACTGGCATTCAGGTGAGTCTAGTGGAACTGGCATTCAGGTGAGTCTAGTGGAACTGGCATTCAGGTGAGTCTAGTGGAACTGGCATTCAGGTGAGTCTAGTGGAACTGGCATTCAGGTGAGTCTAGTGGAACTGGCATTCAGGTGAGTCTAGTGGAACTGGCATTCAGGTGAGTCTAGTGGAACTGGCATTCAGGTGAGTCTAGTGGAACTGGCATTCAGGTGAGTCTAGTGGAACTGGCATTCAGGTGAGTCTAGTGGAACTGGCATTCAGGTGAGTCTAGTGGAACTGGCATTCAGGTGAGTCTAGTGGAACTGGCATTCAGGTGAGTCTAGTGGAACTGGCATTCAGGTGAGTCTAGTGGAACTGGCATTCAGGTGAGTCTAGTGGAACTGGCATTCAGGTGAGTCTAGTGGAACTGGCATTCAGGTGAGTCTAGTGGAACTGGCATTCAGGTGAGTCTAGTGGAACTGGCATTCAGGTGAGTCTAGTGGAACTGGCATTCAGGTGAGTCTAGTGGAACTGGCATTCAGGTGAGTCTAGTGGAACTGGCATTCAGGTGAGTCTAGTGGAACTGGCATTCAGGTGAGTCTAGTGGAACTGGCATTCAGGTGAGTCTAGTGGAACTGGCATTCAGGTGAGTCTAGTGGAACTGGCATTCAGGTGAGTCTAGTGGAACTGGCATTCAGGTGAGTCTAGTGGAACTGGCATTCAGGTGAGTCTAGTGGAACTGGCATTCAGGTGAGTCTAGTGGAACTGGCATTCAGGTGAGTCTAGTGGAACTGGCATTCAGGTGAGTCTAGTGGAACTGGCATTCAGGTGAGTCTAGTGGAACTGGCATTCAGGTGAGTCTAGTGGAACTGGCATTCAGGTGAGTCTAGTGGAACTGGCATTCAGGTGAGTCTAGTGGAACTGGCATTCAGGTGAGTCTAGTGGAACTGGCATTCAGGTGAGTCTAGTGGAACTGGCATTCAGGTGAGTCTAGTGGAACTGGCATTCAGGTGAGTCTAGTGGAACTGGCATTCAGGTGAGTCTAGTGGAACTGGCATTCAGGTGAGTCTAGTGGAACTGGCATTCAGGTGAGTCTAGTGGAACTGGCATTCAGGTGAGTCTAGTGGAACTGGCATTCAGGTGAGTCTAGTGGAACTGGCATTCAGGTGAGTCTAGTGGAACTGGCATTCAGGTGAGTCTAGTGGAACTGGCATTCAGGTGAGTCTAGTGGAACTGGCATTCAGGTGAGTCTAGTGGAACTGGCATTCAGGTGAGTCTAGTGGAACTGGCATTCAGGTGAGTCTAGTGGAACTGGCATTCAGGTGAGTCTAGTGGAACTGGCATTCAGGTGAGTCTAGTGGAACTGGCATTCAGGTGAGTCTAGTGGAACTGGCATTCAGGTGAGTCTAGTGGAACTGGCATTCAGGTGAGTCTAGTGGAACTGGCATTCAGGTGAGTCTAGTGGAACTGGCATTCAGGTGAGTCTAGTGGAACTGGCATTCAGGTGAGTCTAGTGGAACTGGCATTCAGGTGAGTCTAGTGGAACTGGCATTCAGGTGAGTCTAGTGGAACTGGCATTCAGGTGAGTCTAGTGGAACTGGCATTCAGGTGAGTCTAGTGGAACTGGCATTCAGGTGAGTCTAGTGGAACTGGCATTCAGGTGAGTCTAGTGGAACTGGCATTCAGGTGAGTCTAGTGGAACTGGCATTCAGGTGAGTCTAGTGGAACTGGCATTCAGGTGAGTCTAGTGGAACTGGCATTCAGGTGAGTCTAGTGGAACTGGCATTCAGGTGAGTCTAGTGGAACTGGCATTCAGGTGAGTCTAGTGGAACTGGCATTCAGGTGAGTCTAGTGGAACTGGCATTCAGGTGAGTCTAGTGGAACTGGCATTCAGGTGAGTCTAGTGGAACTGGCATTCAGGTGAGTCTAGTGGAACTGGCATTCAGGTGAGTCTAGTGGAACTGGCATTCAGGTGAGTCTAGTGGAACTGGCATTCAGGTGAGTCTAGTGGAACTGGCATTCAGGTGAGTCTAGTGGAACTGGCATTCAGGTGAGTCTAGTGGAACTGGCATTCAGGTGAGTCTAGTGGAACTGGCATTCAGGTGAGTCTAGTGGAACTGGCATTCAGGTGAGTCTAGTGGAACTGGCATTCAGGTGAGTCTAGTGGAACTGGCATTCAGGTGAGTCTAGTGGAACTGGCATTCAGGTGAGTCTAGTGGAACTGGCATTCAGGTGAGTCTAGTGGAACTGGCATTCAGGTGAGTCTAGTGGAACTGGCATTCAGGTGAGTCTAGTGGAACTGGCATTCAGGTGAGTCTAGTGGAACTGGCATTCAGGTGAGTCTAGTGGAACTGGCATTCAGGTGAGTCTAGTGGAACTGGCATTCAGGTGAGTCTAGTGGAACTGGCATTCAGGTGAGTCTAGTGGAACTGGCATTCAGGTGAGTCTAGTGGAACTGGCATTCAGGTGAGTCTAGTGGAACTGGCATTCAGGTGAGTCTAGTGGAACTGGCATTCAGGTGAGTCTAGTGGAACTGGCATTCAGGTGAGTCTAGTGGAACTGGCATTCAGGTGAGTCTAGTGGAACTGGCATTCAGGTGAGTCTAGTGGAACTGGCATTCAGGTGAGTCTAGTGGAACTGGCATTCAGGTGAGTCTAGTGGAACTGGCATTCAGGTGAGTCTAGTGGAACTGGCATTCAGGTGAGTCTAGTGGAACTGGCATTCAGGTGAGTCTAGTGGAACTGGCATTCAGGTGAGTCTAGTGGAACTGGCATTCAGGTGAGTCTAGTGGAACTGGCATTCAGGTGAGTCTAGTGGAACTGGCATTCAGGTGAGTCTAGTGGAACTGGCATTCAGGTGAGTCTAGTGGAACTGGCATTCAGGTGAGTCTAGTGGAACTGGCATTCAGGTGAGTCTAGTGGAACTGGCATTCAGGTGAGTCTAGTGGAACTGGCATTCAGGTGAGTCTAGTGGAACTGGCATTCAGGTGAGTCTAGTGGAACTGGCATTCAGGTGAGTCTAGTGGAACTGGCATTCAGGTGAGTCTAGTGGAACTGGCATTCAGGTGAGTCTAGTGGAACTGGCATTCAGGTGAGTCTAGTGGAACTGGCATTCAGGTGAGTCTAGTGGAACTGGCATTCAGGTGAGTCTAGTGGAACTGGCATTCAGGTGAGTCTAGTGGAACTGGCATTCAGGTGAGTCTAGTGGAACTGGCATTCAGGTGAGTCTAGTGGAACTGGCATTCAGGTGAGTCTAGTGGAACTGGCATTCAGGTGAGTCTAGTGGAACTGGCATTCAGGTGAGTCTAGTGGAACTGGCATTCAGGTGAGTCTAGTGGAACTGGCATTCAGGTGAGTCTAGTGGAACTGGCATTCAGGTGAGTCTAGTGGAACTGGCATTCAGGTGAGTCTAGTGGAACTGGCATTCAGGTGAGTCTAGTGGAACTGGCATTCAGGTGAGTCTAGTGGAACTGGCATTCAGGTGAGTCTAGTGGAACTGGCATTCAGGTGAGTCTAGTGGAACTGGCATTCAGGTGAGTCTAGTGGAACTGGCATTCAGGTGAGTCTAGTGGAACTGGCATTCAGGTGAGTCTAGTGGAACTGGCATTCAGGTGAGTCTAGTGGAACTGGCATTCAGGTGAGTCTAGTGGAACTGGCATTCAGGTGAGTCTAGTGGAACTGGCATTCAGGTGAGTCTAGTGGAACTGGCATTCAGGTGAGTCTAGTGGAACTGGCATTCAGGTGAGTCTAGTGGAACTGGCATTCAGGTGAGTCTAGTGGAACTGGCATTCAGGTGAGTCTAGTGGAACTGGCATTCAGGTGAGTCTAGTGGAACTGGCATTCAGGTGAGTCTAGTGGAACTGGCATTCAGGTGAGTCTAGTGGAACTGGCATTCAGGTGAGTCTAGTGGAACTGGCATTCAGGTGAGTCTAGTGGAACTGGCATTCAGGTGAGTCTAGTGGAACTGGCATTCAGGTGAGTCTAGTGGAACTGGCATTCAGGTGAGTCTAGTGGAACTGGCATTCAGGTGAGTCTAGTGGAACTGGCATTCAGGTGAGTCTAGTGGAACTGGCATTCAGGTGAGTCTAGTGGAACTGGCATTCAGGTGAGTCTAGTGGAACTGGCATTCAGGTGAGTCTAGTGGAACTGGCATTCAGGTGAGTCTAGTGGAACTGGCATTCAGGTGAGTCTAGTGGAACTGGCATTCAGGTGAGTCTAGTGGAACTGGCATTCAGGTGAGTCTAGTGGAACTGGCATTCAGGTGAGTCTAGTGGAACTGGCATTCAGGTGAGCATATCGGAACTGGCTGCCATCTGGCCTGCCTACACGTGCCTCTCATGCTCGTCCTCTCCCCCTGCACCATCACCCCCCTGCACCATCACCCCCGTGCTGACACTCTCTCTCCCCTTCCCTCCATCCTTTCCCTTTCCCATCCCTCCTCTCTCGCTGCTCTCGACCTCCACCTGTGCACGGCGCAGTCAGCGGACGAGGCGCGGAATCTGAGGCGGGAGGTGGCAGCAATGGAGGTGGTGTCGGGGCATCCCAACGTAGTTCAGCTGCATGCTGCGTGTGAGGACGACAAGGTCAGCCTCCTTGTGCCGCGGCCTGCCTTAAACTGTCTGCTTTGATATGCTATGCCATCCTGTGCCTTGCCGTGCCGTGCTGTGCCGGTCTGTGCATGCCGTGCTATGGCATGCCGTGCTATGGCATGCCATGCGCTTGGCCCCACATCTCTCTCTATTCCCCCTCTCACCCCCCGCCCGCCAGAGCATCTTCCTGGTGATGGAGTTGTGTCGGGGCGGCGATCTATTCGACTTCATGCGCCAGTACGGCCGCCTGCCCGAGTCCATGGCAGCACCCGTGTGCCGCCAGCTGCTGGCCGCGCTGCACCACTGCCACACGTGCGGGGTGCTGCATCGGGATGTGAAGCCGGAGAACGTGCTGCTGCTGCAGCCCGGCAGTGTCAAGCAGATCAAGCTCGTGGACTTCGGCATTTCCACCGACGTCGAACCTGGTTAGTCATCAGGGATTTCAAACTGTTTGTTGGGCACTGCGTGGTTCTGATTCATAAATTTCGTCTGAGTTTCCTTGGGGGGCCAGAGGGGAGCAGGGGGGCAGCGAAGAATATGGGAGGGGAGAGGGACAGGGTTGTTGTGGCGATGGCAGGGATGTGAAGCATTCTTGGAGACTGTTGGAGTTTCACGTTCAGGATAATTCTAGGTGTTTTTTCTTGCTGATGGACTTGGATAGCCTTCACATCACCTGCTCAATCATTTTTTTTTTGCATTTCCCACCTTCCACCCTGTCTCATTGCATTGCTCTGCTGCAACCCCGTTGCTTTCAGATGCTGCCTCCTGCAAGCTATATGGCACACCCCTCTATCTCGCCCCAGAGACTCTAGACGGCATCTGGGGCCCTCCAGCAGACGTGTGGAGCACAGGAGTTCTAGTCTACGCATTGCTCTCCGGACTGCCTCCCTTCTGGGCTGCGTCAAACGAGGCCATTTACAATGCCATTCGAACTAAAGCCCCTCGCTTCTCGTCTGCACGCTGGAAGCATGTTTCCGAGGAAGCCAAAGAGCTGCTTCAAGCCATGCTGGTCAAAGACCCCACTAGACGAATCACTACAAGCCAAGCATTAGGTGAGTGACTCTCTTTCTTGCTGTTTGGTACCTGCAGCACTTGGGTATGCAGTGAACCTTGGTGGTCATGCTCTGTTATGGACATGGTGAGTGTTCGTTCAGCAATGTGCTTCCATATCAGGCGCATTCATTTTCCTTAGGGGATGCAAGTTTCTCGTTTTGCATGCCCTTTACTACCCCTTTCCTCCCCTCATCACCACCTTTCAGCACATGAATGGGTTCGGGATACAGCAGCCACTCCACACTGCCACTCTCTCCCACCTCCCCGCATCCTCTCGCCGCATTCATCATCAAGCTTCTTCTCTGGGAGAACCCTCGACAGTGAGCCTTCCCTCTCCTCTCAGGCTTCAGTGTCCTCAGAACCTTCGGTTGCTTCAGATATTTCTCCCTCACCACCGGGAGGTCTGTTCAGAGAGCCATCATTAGCTTTAGGTCTACTTTAAGGCATAACCAGTCAAAGAAGCTGGTACTAGAATCCACTTGTCTGCTGTACATCATACATCAATGTGGTAGTGCACCATTCATGATTGTATGTTCCAGCATCTGTCAAGAGTTACTTCACTCGCATGAGAAATACCTAATGCTATGAGATGTACCAAATACATTGATGTTCTCATGGAGAAAATTACAGCAACGTTAGGTTCTCCTGGGGCATGGTTATCGAAAATTTCACAAGAATTTGACATGGCAACATGCGGGTTCTCCAATAGAGCACGGCTCAGGGAAAGATTCCACTGACACGGTAACATGTGGCAATCTTCTCAATGGCAATCACATACGAGGCTGTGCGGAAGTTGCACTCCTGAAGAAATCAGAGAGACGATTGTTAGATGTGCTGATTTTGTATAAAAGGACTTTGAGACATCTCAGCTTGTCTTACCCTTTCTTCAGCAACCCGTTTGACTTCATCCCAGGCGTTTATCATTGTCTCCTCAAGGCCAGACCACACAAAGTCCTCCTCAGTGTTGCTGCTCAAGTAGTGAACGAGCAAACGCTTGAAACGGATACATCATTGAAAAATGAAAAACAATTGGCCATAAACACAAAATAAATGGCGGAAACAGCACAAGAAGAAAGAAAACGCACCCTTTAATGATGGAACGACGTGTGTCGTCAGTGAATTTTATACCAGTCGCAATTTCCTTCTCCAAAGCATCCAGTAAGGCCTGGAATTGAGAACAGAAAAAGCCTCAGTACACTGGAGCAGTATTAACCAAGTGCGTAACTGTGACAAATCTGACAGGTATTTTTCGCTAAAGTTCAGTGGACCTCACCTGTTTGCCCCGTTCTTCCATGCGCCGGCTCATCCTTCCGAAGCGAATGTGGTTGATGTTCTTCAGCCACTCAAAATAGGACACTGTCACACCACCCTGCAGTACAGGCAATGCCTTCAGTAAGTACTTTGTTGAGACGTGCAGCACGGGACAAGGAAGCATGTAAGGAAAGCGTGGACTTCGAAGATTCTCATAATTACCGCGTTCAGCAAAAGGTCTGGCAGAACAACTATTCCGTTGCTTTCCATGATCTTCTCTGCTGGAGGAGTGACAGGACCATTTGCAGCTTCCGCGACAACCTTGGCCTGCACGCGAATCACAACATAAAGTCCTCATAACTATTCAGCTGGAATTTGAAGAGTCAAAGACTAGGTTTCTACCTTAATGCGGCTGGCATTTCCTGAGTGGATCTGGCCTTCCAGTGCGGCTGGTATGAGGACATCACAAGGAAGTTCAAGTAGGGAGAATGGGTCGGAGACCTGCAACCACCAATTTCAAGAGTTAGGACAGCAATATTGGGCCGAGAGAACATGTTGGCAACCCAAATGAGTACTTACAGTTTTGGCTCCTGGGAACCCCGTGATGGTGCCATTCCGTGCATGATATTGCTTGATGCCTTCAATGTCAAGGCCGTTCCCAGTCTCATCCACCAAGCCACCATCATACTCAGCAATGGCGGTGATTTTTCCCTTGGCTGTGACGATAGCCTGTGAAACGATCAGGAGAGGGCCATAACTCATTACCTTGATGCCCTTTTTGCATAGTGGACAAAAGGAACAGGAAACGAAAGAAGATGAACGCACGTCTATGGTATGACGACCAACGTTTCCAAAACCTTGAACAATAAATGACTTTCCTTCGACACCGGTTGACATGTTCAGCTTTGCCATCCAGTTCTGTCCAAAAACCGCAGAGCCATTGTGAGAGACGATATAGAGAGGTATAGCATGTGCACACTCAACACAACGTAGTATGCACCTTGCTGCTGAGGAACTCCCTCAGGCAGATGAATACGCCCATTCCTGTAGCCTGAGTCCGACCACGGATGCCTCCCTGTAGTCACATTTTCACGAATTTAAGTGTTGTTTCTCAGACTTGTATTGATCGTCAAGTTCATATTATGAGCATACCTCTTCGATGGGTTTTCCAGTGACACATGCAAACGAATTGAGATCATCTGGCCTCAGAGTCTCATAAGTGTCCTGAAAGTCAGCCATACAAACGGTCAGATTGAGTTACGATACTGCGAAAGCAGCTGACAAAAGACCCACCTTGATCCACGCCATTTCTTGTGGTCCTGTACCGTAGTCAGGTGCTGGGACGTCCTGAGATACGAATATTGGTGCAGGTCAGGTAACAGGTCAGGCAGAATCATTACTTGCAGAGCACAAGCTTGAAACATAAAGGTTAGGTTGGCTTACAATAGCAGGGCCAATGAAATTCTTCTTCACAAGCTCCGTGGTGTACCGTCGAATGATAGCTTCTTTTTCAAATGACGAGTACTTCTTGGGATCTTCGGTACATTGGAATATGGTCAGTAGTGGACAAAACAAACAAGGCGAGTCAGCCCTCTTATTGTCTTCCCAGCAACAAGAGGAATGCGTTCTGTTGGGACTACTTACCTATCTTGATTCCTCCCTTGGCTCCACCAAACGGAACATCAACGACAGCACACTTGAATGTCATCAGTGCAGCAAGGGCAACGGTCTCATCCGCGTCCACAGTTGGCGCCATGCGGACACCTCCCTTGCCTGAAAAGTTAGCATGCCAAGGCAAGGCAAACAAAAGTTAGCTTCTGCATATCCTGTGATGCCAGAAAACTCATCTGAAGGCTAACCTGGAAGCCGGTGATGAGAGTGCTGTGCTCGATAGCCTTCAATCAGCTCGACCGTGCCATTCGACATTTTCAGTGGAAACTGAACCTTGAGAACATTGTTGCATCCCTAGAGAAGTCCCGAACAATACAAGATAGTTAGCAACAGTGATTTCAGAACATATCCCGGGACAAAGTTGCATTTTTTCGCAAAAAGTACCTTTATCTGTCCCAGGATGTCCCCTGGCACATGGCAGATGGCAGCAGCCTTGTCGAAATAAATATCAACGGACTCCAAAAAGTTTGGGTCCCCTGCATGCGCATTCATCGAGGGACATCTGGTCAGCTGATAAAACGCGTTTGACCTCGACAGGCATTGTATGGCCTCTCACCCGTCTCGGCTGCTGTGGAGCTAAATGACCGCTGAAGGCCAAGAAACAGTCGAGTCTGTGGCCTCAACCGGCGCATTATATGAGCCATCGCTGCAGCGCGTTAGGTGTACGATAACAACAGAACAATATATTTTATTGTCGTCAAACGCTGTCAATGTGGCATTAAATCAACATTGCTGCAGCAGTGGATAAGAGAAAGAGAGGGACATTTGCTTGAACCAGCCCTGTCGAAGGACCAGCGGAAGCCGTGGTATACCTGGAATAGCCCTGATGCACTTCTGTCTGACGAATGTGCAGATAGGAATCTCTCCCTGATGCAGTTATGACCCGATGGTGCGGACCAGCTCTAACGATGGGTATGGCAGAATGATTCGCTATTGGCGCACATTGATAACAGGCATTGATTTTTTACCCAGGGATACTCAAGTTGCAAGAAAATGTCAAATATTGTGAGAGAATGTTATTCTTATCAGATTTAGATTATATCATACTATATCTGATAATAATGCGTAAGCATCAATTTATTGTTGGAATTTGCATGAACATCATCATTATAACCGGTAAAAGAAAATACCACTTGATTGGTTGTTTAAGTGGCAATGTTGTGAGAACATAGACGATAACATGTCAATGTAAGCTAGATAAAAAATGGGTAAAGGAGAAATGAGAATGGAGGACAGGGAAGGATGTGTGGGAACCAGGCTTTCAGAATCCCCCCCCCCCCCCCCAAACCCCTCCCCCCGCGCATTTTTTTAGTACTTTTAGTGCAAGGGCTAATTTATCTGCGTTTTTTGTTTCTATGTATTCTCTCATGTAGACCGGCATGCCTTTCTAGCTAATTCTAAGCAATTTTCTCCATAGATTCGCACGACAATTTTTCAGCCTTCCCCAAAACCATTATGGGGGCTTGGCTTGGTGAGGGTCTTAAGAGTGACACATAGCGGAATGGATTGACTAGCAAGGTGGGTGATACAAATAGCAACCCTAGACAGAGTTGTACCCTCTACACTGCATCTCACTACAGCCTATTATGATAATGTATAACATTTGACACACCCCCATAGGCTAAGTGAGGGGCATCAAAGCAAGCAAGGCAAACAAACGGTCACAAGACCAGTCAAGATAAGAAACAAGACAAGCTCGGGGTGGATCTCAAGATCACCACGCATTCCGAGCACAAGCAAAATGGCCACAAGGCCAGTTTAAGAGTTCACAAATATATATAGATGCAACGTCAAGCAAAGCAAAGCTCCTACAAGCGAGCACCAGTGTCAACAAGTCCTAACTGCACACAGAATCTGTGGTGGTCACCAGGCGCCAAGGCCTTGGTGAAAATGTCCGCAGTAATGGCCTCTGAGGCCACACAGTCCAGGTGCGCCTGGTCGCGACGCTGCAGCTCTCGTAGGAGGAAGTACCTCAAAAGTCAATGTGCTTCACCCTACTCTCCAGTCGAGGCTCGCGACACAAGAGAATCATGGCCTTGTTGTCAGCGAACAAGGTCGGTGCAGAGCGAGGCCGCTCACCAAGGTCAGTGAGCAAGAAGGTCAACCAGCGAAGCTCCTGCGCAGCCATAGCACCGGCGTAGATCTCTGCCTCGACACTGGACGTAGCCACAGACGACGACCGTGTACACCTCCACGACATAGCTCTAGCTCCCAAGCTGAAACAATAACCATGGGTCGAGCGCTGAGTCTCCACGTTGTCAGCGTACGAAGAGTCGCAGTGACCGGTCAGCACAACTGGCTCTTTCGCACCAAGCACAAGCCCCATGCCTGATGTAGTCGCTAGGTACTTCGCCACCCTCACAACAGCTCTCCAGTGAACAGGACGGTGTCTCCCAGTCGCAACAAAACGAGAGAGAACGCTGAGGGGAAAGGCGATGTCCGGACGCGTACAAGTCATCAGGTACATGAGGCAGCCCACAAGCTCTGGTAGGGACCACTAGGCTCAAAGGGCTCGTCAGAAAAAGGGCCGATGAGTCTGTGGTCAACGGCAAGAGGAGTGGGCTGTGTGGTGGAGTGCTGAAGCCCGAACCGCTTAAGGACCTGCTCGTGTAGTCGTCCTTGAAGGAAAGCAGTGGAGAAGTCGAGGGAGTGCAGCTCGTAGTCTCGCTGTGCTTCTACGTTAAGTAACACCCGAAGAGTAGTCATTCCGGGGTCGGGGCGAAGGTCTGAAAGAAGTCAACTCCCTCACGCTGATTGAAGCCCCTCGCGACATAGCGCGCCTTGAACACCGGTGGTGATCCAGGCAGCCACTTCACCTTGAAGAGCCACATACCATCGACAACGTTCGCCGGCGGAGAGGGAACTGCGTCGACGTAGGTGCCTGTGGATCTCCAAGACGCCAACTCTGAGTCCATGGCTGCCTTCCACTGAGAGGCCCACGGCCCTGACACTGCCTCGCGGTAAGTGCGAGGAGTCGGTATGTCAAGGGCGTCGGGGTCTCCCTCAGTGGAAAGCAGCATGGCACACAGAGAGGGGGAAGCGGCTGCCAAGAACTCCAGCTCAAACTGCCTGTCCTCTAGGACGTCACAGCCAAGGGCAAACTCACCCCTGGTGGACAGAGGACCAGGAGGAGGAGCAGCCACCACGCAGGTGGCGGCGGCGGGTGGCAGCAAAGTCAGTGACAGCAGCAGTAAGAGCCGAGACAGACGACGGAGAGGCACGAGGGTCCGTGACAAGAGAGGCGAGAACACGTGTGACAACAGGGCGAGCAGCACGGTAGTAGTCAGAGATAGGGGTAGAGGTGGAGGCTGTAAGAGACGACTCAGGAGGCGACGGGAAAAGAGACACAGTGGGGGAACATCGAGGACTAGATCGTCACAAGACAGTGCGGAGGTCGTAAGAAGGAGATGGGGGACGAGCACGCCGAGGACAACGAGTGTTCCAGTTGTGCGAGGCAACAGGAGGAGGCGACGGTGACCGAAGGAGAGGGAAAACAGTCAGAGTCAAGTCCGGAGGAGGAAACGTATGACCGTACGCGGTAGAGACTGTGAGAGGACAGGAGGAGAGGAAGGAAGACCAAGGGCCCGAAGGCCACTCACAGGAGGGAACAGCTGCTGCTGCTGCTGCTGCTGCCGCTGTTGCACAAGATGCTGCTGCTGCTGCCGCCGCTGCTGCACAAGCTGCTGCTGCGACGCACTGCTGCTGCTGCTCCTCCTCCTGCTCCTGCAAGTCCAACTGCTATAGGTCCCGCCTCTCCCGCTCCAACCGCTCCTGCTCCTCACGCTCACGGCGGCGAGCCGCCTGGAGACATGTGTCATGGCGGTGGGGAGGCGCAGTAGTAGTGCCTCCAGCGCCAGTCTCCTCAGAACTAGCAATGCAAGCTCCAACACCCTTAGAACTAGCACCTCTGGCTTCAGCACCCCCAAAACTAGCACCTCCAGTGCAAGCACCTCCAGCTCTAGCACCCCAATACTAGCACTAATGCCAACACCCCTAGCTCCAACACCCCCCGAACTAGCACCTCCAGTGGCAGGACCTCCAACACCAACACCTCCTGAGTCCACGGTAACCTGTCCCGGACGTGCCGACGGCTGCTGAGGGGGCTGTGAGGAGGACTGCGGGGAGGGAGACGCGGCCTGACGCGCGACCGAGGGTAGAGGGGTAGCGTGAGACACACCAGACGGGGCAGGACCAGGGGGGGGCGGGGGTACCGGAGGAGCGGGAGTAGGAGGAGGAGAGGGTGCTAGGAAAAGAGGACAAGGGACTGGGAGACCTCGACAGGGGTACCGGGTGTAGTAGGACACGGACTCGTCAAACTGGACGTCACGGGAGTCTAGGAAACGGTGGAGGGGCGGTTGGTAAAAGGTGTAGTCGGAGGAGTCCACTAGGAAACCAAGGAAGACACAGGGGATGGCGCGAGCCGAGAGCTTGTCCGCAGAGGTGTCGCGGACAAGTGCAAGGCAGCCCCAGACACGAAAGGCCGACCCAACACCAGGGGACCCTGTCCAAAGACTGGTCGATGAAGCCCCCGGGCGCGAGACATGCGGCTAGAGGTTCAGCTGGTGGGCTGCGTAGTGAACAACGTAGGGCCACAGAAAATGGGGCGCACGGGCATGGATCATGGAGGTGCAGGCAATATCCATGACCAAGCCAATGCGGCGCTCAGCAACCTGATTCTGCTATGGGGACTCTGGCAGCGTCCAAGACTGCGCGATGTCCCCTTCGCCGCAGAATCCGGCAAGCATGCCGAAGCGAAACTCACCCCCACGATCAAAGTGGAGATAACGCGATGTCCACGAGTGTCCTTAGTGGCCAAGAGCCACCGGATCAGCGCAGAAGTGACCTCAAACTTCTTCGCTAGAGGAAACACCATGGTGTACCTGGAGTAGTCGTTAACGACCACTAGAAAGAAGCGCTCCCGCTCGGGCCCAGCACGAGGGGCTGGGCCCCAGACGTCCAAGTGGAGGGTCTGGAAGGGAGCAGTGGCCGGACGAAGGGAGGAGGAGTGACGAGTGGCGCGCAGCCGATCCTCAACGCAAGGAGTGCACGGCGGCGCAGGCGAACGGGGGAGCGAATCAAAGACCGGCGGAAGACCGGAGACCAGACGCTGTAACAGACCGCGAACCACAACAATTGCGGGTTGGAGCACGGCGGTATGGGCGACTGTGAGGGGCAGAACCTGCCAGGCGCGGGCCCGGCCGGGTGGGCATCGAACAGCGATGCAGTGCAGTGGTGGGTGGGCGAGGGGCAGTGGTACAAGCGTCCCCCGGCTGACTTCCCTGACGGCTGCATCAGTGGTGACGGGGGGGTAGGCAAGCATGCACGCAGGTAAGTAGAACCTCTCAGGTGCCTTTTGAGTTGACTGGAGTGGTGGGTGGGCGAGGGCAAGTAGTACAAGCGCGCCCCGGCCATCTTCCCTACTGGCTGCATTGATGGTGACTAGGGCAGATGTGGCCACTACACGCAGGTGGGCAGTGCTTGGTTTATGACTGCTTTTGTGAGTAGTGAATAGTGGCTGCTATTGACAATAGGAAATGCCTCTTAGGCGTGATTCTATGCGGATGGTTAAATGTATATATCTGTATACACATGCATACATGTATATATATACATGTGTAGATATACATGCATTTGTGTATAGATA